TTTTGATAGTAGAATTTAATCTTCAGCAAATACAACTATGGAAAGTAGAAGTTATAACACAATTAGTACAATATAAGCCAAATGAAACTAAAAGTTATGTACCTCATTTGTTTCATTTAGAAGCTACCTTTGCTCAGAGTGCCCAAGAATAACCCAAGGGATATCCAAATTTACAAGCATTTCGGCACTGTTTACAGAAAAAACACAAAAACACAAATTAAATAATAGGTAGAAACTTCAAAATTATGCCACGCTATTAGTAAATCACAGATCAAAACGAGAAGAAAAAGAGAATCAAACAATTCTGTTACATGGTTCTAGTTCTACCAAATATGGATCAACAAAACCCAGTGTCCATAAAAACTACAAGCAAAGCACCAAAATGAATAGAAGAGCCAAGTGCAAATAACATACCTAATCTCCCCAGTATAAGCACCACCTTTGCGAACCCAACTGTTTTGAGCAGCAACATGGAAGTCATAGCGAAGTAAACTTTTTACGAAGGTAAGGAACACATAAGGGGGGCTCACAACAACTTCTGTAAAACCTATGACTTTAATGGTTCGATACAAAGCAAGGCAAAGGCTGAGTGCAAAAGCAGCATTAGCTCATCCCTACTTTGACAAAGAAGGTTTGCTGGTGCTATCTTTTATGCAAAATTTGAGGTTACGGTTCTTTCGAGCTACCCAGCAGGATTATGGAGAAGTTGCCAAGTGGATTGCCTCTCAGAAATGCATATAAACACTAAATATAAATATTTGTGTTTCTCAATTAGCAAACAGACCACTCAATTAGAGCAGTAACACTTATAAAAATGGTTTGATCAGTTAGCAAACAGATCACTCACAAGCTCATGACAGTAGGAACTTGGCCATCACAATGCCAATCAATCAAGCACTAAATCCTTATATTGTTTTAATGATAGTTTACTAACTTGTCAAACAATTACAAACCAAACATTAGCATGAGCAAAAAAACTAAACATCCAGCAACTAGGAGTTGATAAACTCATACTTCTAAGACACTAAAGTGAATTCAACTAGTGATAAAGGACCCGTCATGACAACACCCTTTCAACAGACCACACTAGCAAAGAACATACAAAGAATTACAACTATCATAGCTTTAACAGCAAGTTGTAAAAACAAGATGAAAGCACCAGTCAAGCAAAAATGTTTTGAAAGTTAACAAACTCATGAGTAAAATATGAACAATGTCGCGGTGAAATTTGGATACCAAACTATTAATTAGTTTGAATCTTTAGTTCATTCGCAACCGAACTTTGATTTGTCCAAAGGAAGGGATAAAGGTCGAAATTCCCACAATGCAATGCAAATGCAAGCTAGAGAGTTTTGGGTTCGGGGGTTGGTTAAACTTAGGGAAGGTACTAGCATCCTAATTTTCTGTAGTACTCTACAAGAACCTCTTGTTTTACGTTTGTTTATTGCTATGGTTATCTGCTTAAAGGTATAAAGGCCTAGGGGTTTATTTCTAAGTATACTCGATAAGATGCTGCATCTTATGCCTACATATCCTTACGAGAGTGGAATCAGATTATTTTGTAGTTCCCCTAAAGGGTTTGAGGAGTTCTTTGACTGTGGTCAAAGTTCCTACGGGTTTAGGGTAGTTGATTGATTGATTTTAGGAGAAGAGGTGAGTTATCATTTTAAGGGAGATCTAACCGCCACAAGTTGTAGGAATGTAGTCTTTGCATCATCTTAAGAGAAGGGCTCAAGTACTCGGATAGGGATCAACGAGGTACGCCTCTCTTAAGGCAAAGTTCCTACGGTATTGATTGTATTGATGTGGGGTGGGGATTCTATCTCGCTTAAGATGATTAACATCTATTTCTCTATTGTGTTTGATTATTTGTTTGATTGAGTTGATTGTTTGTTTCTATATTGTAAAGATAAAGACAAAGGTCCTCCTGTGGGGTAGGATCTGTCCTAAAAGATCGACTTGAGTGGGATCAAGGATCATGGGGAAATGATGCAAATGATATGCGTACGCACGATTGTTTAAGTCATGTGCAGATTCTTCCTTTGGACGGAATGCAAGGCGATAATATAAATTGTAGTAATGTAAATTGCGGATAATGTAAAACATACACGACGCATGAAAGCGCTAAGTGAGTGTGTGAGTTGTGAATAAGATAAAAGTAGATAAAGTAAACATACACGCGCATGAAAGCGCTAAGTGTACAAGTGAATATGAGTGTGAATATGAGTGTGAATACTGTGGGTGATAGTGAAGCGTGCACGATCGAATTGTTGATTATGATGTGAATTGATTTTAGTCAATGAATTTTAAGCGAGAGGTTGATTTTAAGATGAGTTGACTTATGAGAAAATATTTTTATTCTAGTTTTAAATAGGAGGTTTTTTAACAAGTGATTTTATTTTATCTAAAAAACTTAAATACAAAATGATTTATATTTTATTTTATGGCTATTAATTAAATTGAATTATATTAATTATGAAATAAATGAAAGGTTATTTTATTAATTATTTCTCAAAGGTCAATCGAATACAAAATAGGTTTCATGATTGGTTAAAGGTGAAATTGGCAATTAGGTGCAACTTATTTATAAAGGTCTTCTTTAGTGAGTTAAGATATAGATTATTTATAAAAAAAGTTATTAAGTCTATTTTAAATAAAAAGATCTAAAAAAAGTTAATGAGTTAATTAGTTAAAAAAACTTAATTTATCAAGAGGTTAATCTAAGAGTTATTAGTTGTTTTAAATTAAAAAGTTGATTATAAATTAAATTAATAAAGTTGATTAGAAACTTGTTAATTAATTAGTTAATTATTTAAATAAAAAGAACTAGTGATTAGACTATAGGTTAATTAGGATTAACGGGAGATTAAGTGGTTGTTAGTGGTGTGCGGTGAGTGTGTGATGAACGATTACATTACGAATAAAACAACAAAACAACGAGAGAGAAAAACGGAACCCTAACCCCTAAATCTTCCCACCCAATTCTTCGATTTCCCTGATCTACTCCCTCTCCGTTTCTTCTTCTTCGTCTTCTCAGTGCCGCCGCGTCTCCTTTCTCCTCTCTCTTTCTTCCCTTCGTTTCCTTCTCTCTTTCCGCCTATTTTTCACTTCTCCGCTCGCTATTCTCGACTCCCTTCCCTCACCTCATCCTTCTCTCTCCTGCATAATCAAACACAAAAAAACAATATCTAAGCGGTTAGCGAAAAAGTATCAACTGAGATGGATTTGTGCCGGTCTTCGAGGGTTTCGTTTGCGGCGGGAATGGCGATTTGGATTTGTGGTGAAGGCTTCGAAGATGGAGAAGTTTTGCAATGAAAATCTAATCACGAGATAAGTCTTTTCCCTACAAACTTTCGTATTCTTAGGTTTTCTGGTTTTTTGATTTGGGGATTTTCGTGTTGAATTGTTTACGGATTTTTGATATCTGTGAATTTTTTGTGTGTTTGAAATTGGGGTTTTGTGTTGTCGTAACTGGGGTTTTTTCTCTGAGTTCCCCCCTTTGTGTGTTCTGATTTGGTTCCTGATATAGGGTTTCAGGAGGCAATACGAATTGAAGAAGAATGAAGAGGTTTCCAAATCCGGTGATTCTTGTCTGGGCTGTTTTGGGAAAGGGATTAAACTGCTTTAACAGGTTCAAAACCTGCCTTGAAGGTATGGTAAGTGTATTTCAATTCTTTCTCCTTTGGGGAACATTTTGTCTGTTGCCTTGACTTAAGCGTATTTTGAATTTATAAATATCTGTTCTTCTGATGGCTCGATGTTGTCCTGCCCAGGTTGAGGTTTTGAGGAGACTGCAACTTGTTGTTTGAGACATTTGAAATCAACGGGTTACTCAAGCTGCCAATGGCTGCCGGCAAGGATGTTAACAAATTCCCTGAGATGGACAAGCACTCAAGCCTTACTAACTGGCCCAATTCATCAGGCAAGGAAGTGATTCGATTTCTGTCAAAGTTCAAGAGCTTGAGAGGCTGGAGTTAACATGTAATGTACTAAACTTGTCTATGATTTCAAGTTCATGGCTGAATATTTAATGTCTGATTGCAGATCCTTGGAGGTGCTTGGATGGAACTAAAAGTTGAGAGGCGAAATTGCTATCCATCTTCTGCTGTTGTTCGTCATGGATACAACTTGATTGTATTTCAGTTAAGTACATTGTTTGATCGTAACAATTGTGGCTTTTAAAATTAATGATGATTTTCATCAACGTCTTGATGCCCTTCTTTTTTGTTGCAGAACCTGTCTTGTTGTGGACGACTCGTGGATTAAGCTTAAACCGTACGAAGGTGATGGTATGGCTTTTTGTGCTCGCCCGCTTTCGGTCTTCTGTAGGCTGTTGTTGTGTGTTGAAAATGCAGTTGGCTTTTGATATGCTGGTTTATCTTGCAGCGAAAATTACAGAACATAGTTTCTGCCTTGGTTATAATGTCGGCTTTCGCATATGCTGAGTCTTGTACTCTTGCTAAGTGTATTAAAGGGAATAATTGAAACCTCCATGTAGTAATTTTAAGCTTAAAAACTAGCTTAAAACCCTTTTACATTGGTAAAGACAATGAACTCCATGTTCCATTTTATGAGCTTAATGGTGCTTCTATGTGCTGAGGTTTTGTTTTTACTCTCGCAGGTGTGACATTGCAAGTGTGGTAGAAGCGACATGCCGGATACTAGTTCATAGTAGAGTCTTCCTTGGTGTTTTCTGCATACTCTCATAAATTCATGTTGATCAAATGCAGGGGTTTAAGACAATTGGGACAGCAAGCAAAACCATATCCCGGAAGTGCATTGAGAGACCTTCAAATTCCTCGAACTGGTCTCATCAACTAGTGACAGTTTCAGCATAAAGACGCTTTGGGATTATATTCGGCATGCGGTTTTGTATATTCTTTGGTCATGCGAAAAGGCCAGCATTGATTCTTCAGCCCTTTTCATATGAGAGCAGACATACATTCAAATATTCCCAGCTCAATGAATTCAGGGTCATTCGGATGTGCCATTGCCATGTTCTAAAGGCCACTGATAGGAAGAACCTGACCATCATCATCTTGACACGGAAGCTCCCTAAAGAACTTGAGCACACATGTTCTGCGTTTACTTGGATCCGCTTCCTTCATGACACAAAAGAAGCATTCTGGGTATGGACAGTCTGATGAAACTTTATCCATGATCACTAAATTATAGCAATAGCCTCAGATCAACAAGTTGAACCTCGGGTAAAGAAACCACTTCAAAACTGTGAGAGAGATTCAACGGTAGCAAGAGAAAGTGGAAAGGGAAAATTGCATGGAGAGTGAAGTTGGCGAGTGGGAGTGAACAACAGGAGTAACTTTTTGTATTCGAGCAAGTTATTTTCTGTCAATTTTTTGAACTTTCATTCTGTTACAAAGTGCGTTTTATCTCTCCATGGCTTCGTCTTGTACGCTTTTTATGACTCTATGGCGGTAAACGGTCATGTCTGATATGGTTTTGGGAGATACTTGAATTGGTTTAATTGTTGGCTTGAATAACTGATAATCTTTCTATTTTCTTTTCAGGAGGATGTTTGGTTGTGCTTCTGTACTCTGCTATTTTCCAAACAAGAATGAGACGACACCGGCTGCCGTATTGATCGTCCTCGGTGCTGGTATGCGGATGTTCTGTCCTTATCCTCTTGCGAATGGGCACTCGGCATGCTACCACTGCTAAACTGTCGAAGTCACGGTAATTCACTTCCTTCAAGAGTCGTTATACTCATTTCCTTTTCCACTACAACTTCACCCTTCTTATGGCCTTACATGATACTCATTAGGTTCTCATGTTGATAGTTGCACAACCTTGGGTTCCTTCCTAGCATCAAAATTCCTTATAACAACCGTGCGACAATATCGGAGTAACCGGAAGCTTGAGAAGTTGGGAAGGCGAAGTGAGCTTTTTGGTGCTAGGATCATACGATGGTCAAGGATGAATAAATTTACCATATTGTAATCTTTAGAGAAAACTTGTTTTAGGCTGTCTTGGTTTGGTTTTGTAGCAGCAGTTTCTCATTCTCATCATGAATACTTTTGTCATTTGTTTACTGCCAAGCTGGATTTGTATCAATCGTACATAAGAGAAGTACAAATACTTTAAGTCAAAAATCCTATTATATCTTATTGTGCATCTTCTTACTGCATTCTTGAGTGAGGATTTAATATTAAACTTGGGATGAGCTAATTCGTCCATGAACACTTGAGTTAAAAAAAAAGGGGAGTTTTCCACATTTATGAAGAAATGGTTTCAAGATAAACAGTTCGTAAATTGGCTTTCACGTTGTGATCTCTTGTACCTATTCTAATTGAATTGGCTTAATTGTGAAAATATTTCAATCTTGCATTCACCCTTTAAATTGGAATTTTGCAATTCTTGAAGCTAACGTGGTGCACAAACTTTTGAATTTACCTGTGAGCTCGAATAAGTTAATCCTCACTAACACTCATAGGTGTTGGGACCCGAATCTTGAGATCTTCAAACTTTACGAATCTTTTACCCTTTTAGGACCTTCAATTGCACAAAACAATGTAGCCTAAATATGTGGGTGGTGTTCAAATCACAGTTATGTTATCGAGCCACGGCTTTTAAAACTTGATTTTGGAATATCTAGATGAAACCATGAAACTCTTCATGATGGCGAAAATTTTCAAAACAACATCTCATGTTGCAATTGGGCTCGAAACCAATGGTCTGACACACCGAAGCCCAACAAACTCCAGTTGGAGATTAAAGCACCATATCTCTTGAGGACCCTTGATAAAAACCTTGATCCTTAGTAGGAAAACATCAGACCCCGCGAGACATCCTAGGATCCTTCAATCAAAAAGGTTATGCTTCGACATGATTGACGGTGATGACAAGTATCGTCTCCACTTGAAATTAATGCATCTGCACAAGTCGGTTAGTCATAATAAACATATACACACAAGTAGAACAAGCAGGAACAAAACACACGGAGGTGGGATCTTAAGGTCAAAATTTAGGGTGTAACAAACAGAACAATGTTAAGTTGATGATTAATGACACTTTACATTATAGGTAAATTATACAACATTCAAATAAGATTTTTCACTAATACCCTACAAAAAACCACTTGCATATGCACTGCAAGTGTTAAGTTGTAGTTTACTCATTGAACTCAAGGGTACCCCTAATAAATATAAGAAAACACAAGAGCCAATTATCTAGTCTACAGGAACAAAAGCAGCTAAAAAATACATATTAGTCAAATTAACAGAATATTTACTCACTTCAGCACAATCTCCACATTTGGGTCCAGACCATGATTTTCTAACCTTAAAACAAAAGGAAATAAGCAAGTTTAGATCATGGACCAACAACACTAGATAACTGTGAAGGTAAATAATCCATCCAGAAATCAAATACCTCTGACTGGGCAAGTTTATAGGTTTTGGAACAAACAGAATAAAATCGTTCATGCCATTCCAATAGTAATGCAAATATTCTAAAAATTTCATAAGTGAAATGAACATCGAATCACAAAACTAATATCACAGTAATGCAAATCAATAAAATATGAGAACATTAAGACTCAATATACCATAACCGAAATGATAATTCCATAAACTCACATGTTCAGAAATACGTTCAATATACTTTCTTCTCTCCGATTGCCTCGCCGTAGTCTGTAACCAACACCGTCGCGCCGGAGTTTAGGCTCTGTTAAATCTCAGTTAGGGTTGGAATTAGAAATTCATGAGTTGAATGAAAAACATAACAAAATCTTAACCTTAAAATGGAAAATAACACAAACAAATTGTTCTACCTTATCAGACTTAGGAATAAGTTTTCTGAGATTAGCAAGCTGAGTATTGATTCTATCTCTGCGTCTTTTCTCTGTTTGACTATGACTCTTGGAAGCACTTGCAGCTCTATCTTCTAAACTTCCTTCAACAGGTAAATGGCAAGACTGAAACTCACTACATTGAAAAGAAGCAGAAGAAGAATCAGAGATAGTTTGAGGTTGAATTTGAGCAGGAAAGTGTGAACGAAGAGATGATCTTGAACGAAGAGATGATTTTGAAGAAAAGAAGCAGAAGAAGAATCAGAGATAGTTTGAGGTTGATTTTAGGGGTTTTTTTGTTCTGAAAGTTTAATTTTAGGGTTCTTCATTCTGAAAGGAATTAAGAGGGAAACATGAAAAACAAGAGTGGGAAATAGTTAGCCTCGGCTCATCCGTGTCTATCAAATAAAATAAATATATTCGAAAAAAATAAAAATAGTTAGCCTCGGCTAATCCGTGTCTAATATTTAAAAAAAATAATTCAAAAATTAAAAAATATCTAGCCTCGGCCTAGCCATGTCTAATGAATTAAATAAAAATAATTGTAAAAGAAAAACTTTAAAATGGTTTTTTTTGCGTTTAAATAGCCTCGGTTTTGTCAAGGCTAGTTAGCCTCGGTGTCAGTGGCGGAGGCTAAATTCGCAGCTAAAAATAGTTAGCCTCGGCTCATCCGTGTCTAATATTTAAAAAAAACAATTCAAAAATTAAAAAATATATAGCCTCGGCCTAGCCATGTCTAATGAATTAAATAAAAATAATTGTAAAAGAAAAACTTTAAAATGACTTTTTTTGCGTTTAAATAGCCTCGGTTTTGTCGAGGCTAGTTAGCCTCGGTGTCGGTGGCCGAGGCTAAATTCGCAGCTAAAATGAAGTTTTCTAGTAGTGGCTGATGTTGTTGGAGTGTGGTGACTTCAGTTGACATATTTATGTTAGCATTCTCAGATGAAGAACTCATGTTACTAAAGGAAGTTAAGAATAATAGTTTGAAGAAATGGAAATTATTTATATGAAATTATGCATTTATAGAAGAGGTTGACGATAAAACATATGATGATTTAATCTTTGCAATGATTACTTCTAATGGTTAATATTTTTGAATGACTTGTGACCGTCTTGAGAAATGAAAAAAATCAATCATCATTATAGTTGTTTCTCTCTTTTGATAAGAGCAAATGTTGTACAGATAATATTACAACGGTTAAATATTAAAATTGTAATTAAACATTAGACGCTTTCAGTTTGCGATATTACAAAAAGACATAACTGTAATAATATTATATTACCGAAAATGCATTTTGTAGTAGTGACAACATGTGATAATAACATATTCTGCGTCCCGCTCGATCCTACCTTCTTTTTAGAAGCATCTCCATGTTAGAAAGTAGTTTAATGGGAGCAATGTAATAGTTCCTTGTTTTGTAAGATGTTAGAAAGTAGTTTAATGGGAGCAATGTAATAGTTCCTTGTTTTGTCCTAACATGTGGTTTTTTTTTCTTAATTTGATAAAGTGGGCAAGGCCACTTATTTTGTGGTTTGTTTTGATGTATCATGACTTTCTTTGTTTAACCGTATGAATCTGATTTGATGTGATGTGTGTTTCTTATTGGTTTTAATAAAGTTCTGCATATCATAATTGGCATCTAATTGACATATAGCAAACAACAACAATTACACTGCATTGTTCGGAAAAAAATATAATAGGAATTGTAGCACTGAAACATTGAGATGAATTGAGATTATAGTACCGAAACATTGAGATGAATTCTAGCGTTGAATGTTAAGAAAAAATTGAGGAAAGAAGAAATTTGGAAAAAAGAAATTAGGGAAACACGAAATTAGAGTTTTTGTTTAAAGTGAATCTGATTAAATTCGTCAAATTTCCGAAGAAGTGGAATACAAGAGATTTTTTTTTAATTTTCAAATGTTTTTTTTCTTGTTGTGTTTTAACAAAAGGAAATTTGTTTAATTTAAATGTTTAATATGTTTTTAATAAAAGATTTTATTTAATAAGTGATAAAATAATAGCCAATTAATTTATAAAATGAGATTGAATGTGATCCATAATTATCTATGATGTTAACTATGATGTTAGAAAATGGCCAAAATAGAGTGACAGAAATATCAGTTACAATACTCAGACAAGAACTAAGACAATAGTATTATTTTCTACTAAATTTACTAGTGAAGAACATGTTGCGGCACAGTACTCAATCATTTCCATATTTTCAAGCATCCCTTACTTTTCCGATTCTCAAATATACTTGAAACTTAGCAATCTTTTGTCCATCATCACCCCAAGCATGTTTGAATCTTTCAACAACATCATCCTTAAGAAGCTCAACCCCTTTCTTCTTCGATGTCTGATAAGCTGATCTTGATCTTATATAATTCAAGAAATCATCAACATCCATCACAGTCTCACCCTCAAACTCAAACGGTCCCGTATGATCAACTCCTTCCACAGGATCAAATGGAAACTCAATGCTTCTATAATTATCCTCAAGTAACTCCCGTCTTGGATCCCAATAAGGCTTTGCATCAAGAGAATATAACTTATTGTGCATAGCATCAACTGCATCATTAACTCTTGGTGAAGTGTAACACCAACTAGCAATGACACCGTGAGGTTTCTTGAGAACCCAGTTGACTTGTTTGTAGAAAGATGAGAGGTCAAGCCAGTGAAGGGCTTGAGCAATGGTGACAAGGTCTATGGTTCCTTGGGATGACACCATTTGTTCAAGCTGAGTCATGGACATGGTTGATGGGGTGTGTTGGTATCTTATGTTAGGATGTTTGGTTGCAAATTGAAGCTGTTTCTCACTAGCATCTGTAGCAATCACATTCTTGTACAAAGTAGTTAACTGAAATCACAACTTATATTTGTCATACAAAAACAAGAGAAATGTTTAATAAAAGAGAAGAGAGAGACTCACAGATTTAGCAGCTTGGCCGGTTCCGGTGGCGACATCCCAAGCAAGATTGTGAGAGAGAGTCTTAGAAGCTATGAATTGAAAGAGCTGTGGTGGATAACTTGGTCTTGCATCTGCATATTCTTTTCCCTGATTCACAAAATGTTCTGCCATCTCTATAATTTTCTTAATAGCAATATTTAGATCAATTGAACTTATGCTTCTTTCCTGCCTAATGCACT